TTTAACCATTTTAAAGCTTTTATGTTTGCGGTGAAAAAATTGGAAGCTTTGCTTATCTTGGTTGAAACATTTTGAATATGCTTATGTTAGTCCGGAAAATTTTTTTGACCTCCTACCCTCCCCCCCCCCACCCACCCATCCCCCGTCGACAAAAATGTGCACGACTTGGTCAAAATCATAGGAAATGTTGGTCAAAACATCACGACACCCCCTCAATGTTGATGGCTTCGCGACGTCCCTGCGTGACAAAAACCCTATAGTGTAAACGAGTTTAAAATTAAAAGAACCTAATTAAAAGGTTTCAGAGCATATCCTGTTGCCTGTTGTGTATTTTTTTTCTCTTTTACATTCTTTATGTGAACACGAACTTGGAAAATTGTAGTTTCTAATTATGCTAGTTGTGCCGCCATTTTGTTTATTTATGTACGTAGCCGGTCGGGCGGGCGACAATTTTTCACTTGTTGCCCGGCGGGAAACATTGCATTTATCTGAAGTCACGTGACCACAAATCAGCCAATCACGTTTGGTGTTCACCCTATCTATAAAACAGATATATATTGAGAGAGATCACTATGTTTTTGAACAATGTTTTTGGCCCGAACTAAACTATATTTTAAATTCATCTACCGTATTTTATTAAATTATTGTCTGACACTGTAACGCCTAGATCAGTATATTTTCTTCGCAAACGACACTTGCCCGATTTTACACCTGATCGCAATTGCGTAGGATCCGTAGGTGTGCCTATTTTAGCCGATCTCACGTTTGTAGGTACGAAACTGGAGTGTTGTATCTCAGATCCCTCCTTCAAATACCGTGAAAATAGCTCATCGTCAAAGCTTATGTAATCTTCGTCAAAATTGTTGTCGTTGCTTGTTGAGTGGTCATGAGGCGACCTACTAAACACCATTCTCAAATATGCTTTTTGCTGTGCACTTTGTGAACTTCCAGAAAGCTTCCCCTTCATTTTCGTATCTTTTCTCCCTAAGTGGCAATGTTCAGTATGTTTGATAATTTCAAAGTTGTCTCTTAGACTCGGTCTTGTAAGCTTACTAATAGTTTCATTTTCCTTTGATGCTAACCAAGTACTTTCAAAATGCGAGTTGTTCTCCAATTGTTTGCAGCCATGGGGACGCTGTACAGCTCTTGAATAATTCTCCCCAAATCTCGACCTTTGCGAGATTTTTGGCAAGAGAGAATTTTTGCCCAAAGAGGTACCCTTTACTCCAAAATAACCGCAATTGTCCTGGGAATCCTTGAATGTCCATACCTTCCCCCTAACTCCTGGTGTCACACATCTCAAAGGTGTACCAATGTTCATGTTGATCATTGATATCCATAAATACTAGTCCTTTCTCTCAAGAAACTCTGTTTGCAAATTTTCTTGAATACTAAAAATTTACAAAAGGATACCATTCAGTTGTCACATACTGTATATGTCCTTTACCCTTCTGTGACACGAGTTTGACAACTGCCTGTACAATTTTCTGCAGTATAAAGTTTCATGTTGTCTAGTGCACATGTACTTTCTTTGTAGACATCATTTGCCTCCTGAGAAATCGAAAAATGATCAAGATAGTGACTCTGGTTGATTGATGACATATTGTATTAACATACGACTGTTGACATCACTTTCTAGTCTTCAATTTTGAGCGAGTCGTGCTTTGGAAATGACAATAAATTGTCTACTACAGTAAACCTCCGAATACCCCCCCCCCCTCCCGCGTATAAGTCCACTATATTCACTAACGCTCAGGCCATTCGGAATATAAGCCCCCCCCACTCCCAAATATAAACCCCTCCGTGTATATCAGCTCAGACGAGTGACAATAATTACATTGCGATATTATTTTCAACTAAGATCCATGCTATTTCCATACAAGAATTTTGAAAAACAATTCCAGTGATATAGGCCCATGTTCATATAAGCCCATCGAAAAATGCTTATGAACGAATATAAGTCCAGGGCTTATATTCGGAGGTACGTACATCAAGTCGTACATCAAGTCTGAAGTCGCTTTCAATTGGCCTTTTCGTGAGTTACAGACAAAGAGAACGGATTAAAATACAATAATTCATATAATATCAAGTAGAAAACTACTTCAACACATACCAAAATATATTATATACAGTTGTAGCCAAAGCAATCAAATTTATCGAATTAAACTTTCACCATTTCTACAAAGTTATAGCATAAAGTCATCACATATTGAATGACTTAATTGTTAGTATTATTGTTAAACACGTTGCGTGGTGACAAATAATACAATTCAAGGATACACACACTTTTGCAGGTGGCCGAGACAAACATGCAGATGAGTGTGCGCATAATTAAATACTTGACAAGTTTCCTTGACAAATGTACCTTTTCGTGTGTACAGTCAACAAGTTTTCCTTGACAAGTTTCCCTTGAAAAGTTTTGTTGTTCATGTGCACGAAATGTTGTTATAAATCTTTATCTGACGTCAAGGCTGCCTTTTATTTGCCAAAAGCATAGACGTAATTCTTGTACACTTGTCAAGTTCTACTTGGCGGCCGTATACACGAACATATTTTTCATGTCCAAAAGCTGGCATATGACTAGTTTTGGAACAAGGCTCCTTGGCAATTAAAAACTAGGGTCAATTTTTGCTCGTACACATGCACAAATAAAATTTGGAGGTCATTTACGAAATACGTGACGCTATTTTTGCCAGTTTTTTACCCCTCCCTACCCCCTTGTGACAGTGTGTGACAGCTAGCAGTACACCCCCATCATAAACTACGCGACTCTGAGCCAACCACCCCCACCCCACACCCAAACAAATACTCACAAAGCATAAATTTAATATGCAACAACAGATCCAAAACGTTATCTATAAATCGACACTCTTTCAAGGCCTTTACCTCGGCCTAAACAGTTGCCCACTCAGGCTTGATAGAAAACATTGATTTGTCATCTACACTTATTTGCAAGCACTTGTTTTGTTACAAACATGTATACATTTTCCCCTATACGCGTCTCCATCACGTGATATCTCCCCCCTCTTGTCTCGTCGTCTGTACGGCACTTTAATGATAGAAAAGTCAGGAAAGAAAAAGTTGTCTATCGTGCAGCAGAGGAAGTTCAACAGACATCACCTCAGCTTGCAGGAAGATGGACATTAATATGCCTAACAGAAGGTGAAGGTGGGGGTGTTTTAAGGCGGACATTTTTCACATCTAATGTTTGCCTCACATTGCTGTACACCTGATCAGATTTCGTGACCACGACAGAAGGCAGCGTCTTCTTCACTTCCGGTGGTTTACCACTTCCGGTTTCATCATGGTCCAATCGCAGTTCGTCTAGAGGTATGTCTAAATTTTCTGTCCACTTGCATCGCCGCTGTCTTGGTTTGTGGGTCAAAATGCGCCTGCGAGGGATAAACGCACCATGTTGGATAACTGTGTACGGATCATGACCATTTATAGCATTCATGTTCACACAATGTACCCCACTTGTACTCGGAATTCCACTCTGATCCCTATCAATCCCATTATGACATCTGCCACACTTAGAGTTCCCACGGGAACTCGATTCCCGCGAGTTTGTCAGGCGTGAAGAATCACGCGAGCTTGTCGTGCGTTGATAACTCCGCGAGACGCGGGAGGAATCGCGCGCGGAGTACACACAAGGTTGACATTTTATCGGCGACGCTGAACCAGCCACAGGACCCAACGAGATTGCAAATGCTTGAGCTCTAGGACTTAAATCTGCCAAACATTTCTTGATATTTAAGCTTCTTTCATCGTTCACACGAGATTTTCTCCATTTCTGAGTGGCAATTGATGTGTGCAGATGACGCACACGTCGTAAAGCTTGATTTGTCAAATAAGATGAACTCGAGCTTCTATTGTTCAAGAAACTACAGCCACTGAAGTCTCCTTTTGACATTTCCCACGAAGACGTAAAATACGTTCCCAAGAAGGTGCCAAAATCACAAAGGTGTAAAAAAAATAAAAATCGTCTGGCAGTTGTTGATTTAACTTGGCCAGATAATAATGTCAAGTTACAGAGTTCAAGTGATACCAAATCCTCTCACGAATTCACAGTTTCAAAATCAGACATAAAATAACAGCATCATTTGGTTTGCCCGAAGCAAAGTTTGCGCTGGTATATACAAGCGTTTTATCAAAGTCTGGCTGGTTGTCACAACAAAGCGTCTAGTTCGCTAGGGGACGAATGGAAACTGTCAAGGTCGTTTGTTCAAGATTAAATTTCATTGAACAATGTTGACAAATGATTAACAGAGAGACTTGTCTGAGTTGAAGAGCAAATGATTATTTTTCTGCGATAATTTTCTATTATTAAAGGTTGTCAGCCAGCCTGAGCGGGATTAATCCTTAATAAACAACGTTGTGTACTGTGTACATACATTACGTTTCAAACATACATTTGCAGCAATATTCGGACGTTATGAGAGTCTTGTGTAAGCACAACTAATGAATATTCTTCTCGACTTGGTTATAACTATTGAATTTTTGATACGTTTTCCAAGCGGCAAACAAACTTAAAAAGTATGTTAAGTGCTAAATGCTAAAAGATTAATATGAAACTAGTTTTTCGTATAAGCGTTAAGTCGTCACGAAAATATTTCGTGCACTTAAATTGGATAAGACTCGCTACCAATCCCTGTTGACTCGATAGCTCAATGACAATAGGTAGAGCGGCGGTCTAGATACCCCAAGATGCGAGTTCAAATCCCGCTCGAGCCAACGAATTTTTCGTTGCTCGATTGCAGTGTCAGATTAATATGAAACAAGTTTAGTAAGGTTCGCTTTATATAGTTGTATATTGCTGTATATTTAAATATAGTGTCAATTTTACAGCATCAATGATAATTGTATTTAAATTGACAACACGCCTCTTAATCTTCGACTGTTTGGCTATTGCCTACATTTGTTGAATGTTGACATGACATGCACTACACTAAAATTAACGTATTGTGCAGAACTAATGATATCTCATATTCTCATATCATTTGAGAATCCTATATGTGTGGTATAATGTAACCAAACTGCTTTGTACTGAAAATAGGATTATCAAATACTTGATTTCCCCTTCGGATGTCAAAGATATGTGCATTAATTGCTTGGTGTGTGGGCTGCAGAAACGTGCTGGTCGTATTAAATTAATTTTTTCCTCAAATTATTTCCGAAAGCAAATGCCAGCGAATAAGACATTTGAATATATTCAGTGCCAGACACAATTCCTTTATTAGTAAATTTCCTAGCGCCCAAAATGTGATAAATACAAGGTATAACCCTATTTAGGTTAGGATGTTGAAGCCTCTTGAAATTCTCATTTCATGACAATCTTGTTCACCTCGTTTGACCCAACGTCCCGCCGCGGGTGTGGAGGCCCTTGCTTGCGAGGTTGCGTTTGACCGGGCTTAATACACGAAAACTAGCCAAAACTTCAAACGGTTTAAATATATGTTTGCAACTTATTTCCATTAGCTCAAGAAGCAGAGGGTCAGGTTATAGCAATATTGATGCTTCAAGCCTCTTGTGGGATTTCCCTGGGATTTAACAGCTTTAACAAGAAAAGCAAACAAACTGGTCTAAATATAAATTCATAGACCTTGGTATTATTTTGTATTATTTTGTTGGTTTTGAGAGCTTACTACTACTATTTTAGGCATCGTAAAAAATATGCATGCATATTTAACGCAAATTTTTAGCGGGCACAAGCTCGGTAACAGGGGACAGGATTAACAAGATAAATTCGAGCACAGAACGGATGAATTTGTGCTAATCATCGTTATCATCCTTACTTGCAACTGAGAGCTATAAGCTGAATTACGAAGGACGCACCTCATGAACTCAACCTGATCGCGTCGAAGGCTTTCTAAGGGCGGCCGCATTAAGATTATGGCTCATGTCGGCAGTGATGTAGCCAGGATATCTAGTCATGGGTCGAATAAAGTATGTTTATTATGTGAAAATGTATTTGGACTCCTATGGCTATGCTATGGATGCATAATATAGTACAATGAACAGGGAGTCTGCCTGGAAATTTTTTAAATTCTAGAGTCGGTCAAGTGCCATTTTCAGCATTTGGGGGCTATTTTAATGTGTTTTGGTGATTTTAAATAACCATTTAACACATAACAACTCTATACTTAATCACAAACGAATTCAGAACATTTTTTTAAATTTTTTTGTTAGTTTTACAATAAGAAATTGAAGGCACAGACAACAGGACTAATAAAGTCCCAAATTAAGTCCTGCCATACATAAAAATACTACGCTGTAAAACGTGGAAGAGTAAAAATATCCAGTACAAGAAATAAAAATATAATGCACATGTTTGTACTGGTCAGACGTTTTCCAAGACGGGGGGGGGGGGGATATTTTGCCAGGCGGGAGGGAGTTCTGGCTACGTCACAGCACGGTAGAAAGGCAGTTTGGGGATTATCGCAACCATAGTCTATCGAAGTGAAGATGGCTGTGAAACTCGTTAAAACAACAATATTTAACAATTATTCGCCGAAGGCAAGGTGATTATCGGGGAATATTCGCCTAGACGAAGTAGCCTGCGTAGCCGGCGGTTTTAAGGGTTGGGGTTGAGGCGCGAGCAACGAAAAATAGGGAGGCGAGTTTCCCCTTCGCAGGCTAAGACGAAGTCGAGGTGAATATTCCCCGATAATCACCGAGCCTGAGGCGAATACTTGTTTTAGTATTTTTACACAAGCTTTTGTGTTTTTTGAGACTGAATTTATTTTAATTTCGCTTATTTCTTTGTCAGTAAACGTCCACAAAACGGGTAGCCGCCTGTTAGGTGAATATAACAGGTTATTACGTCAAATTTGACCAATCAACATGTAGGATTTGTTATGTTCACTTGTGTAAAAATACTAAAACTCATTATCTATGTTAGTCAACGTTTATTCATAAATCTGGTCCTTCAATAGTAATTCCAATTTCCCTATTGTTCAAGTCACGGATAGGTAACTTTCCTAAAACATTGCTATTGGTTAGTTGGGCAAAAATACAATACACACGTGACGGTGAAGGACCAGATTTATGAATAAACGTTGACTAACATAGATGAGTTATATGGTTATTCTGAGTTTCACAGCCATCTTTCCTTCGATAAGCTATGTCCCAACCCAGCCTATGAGAGGAAATCGGAGCACACAGAAAAAACCTTTTGAAAAGACTTTTGGCAGAGCATTGACTGACATTTTTCACACAAGTGTCATGAGCCCGCAGCGAGAATCGAACCCAGGATCGCAGAGGTAAATGATTGCATTAATAATTTTAATAATAACGTCATAGCTCTTACATCAATGACAATGTATATGAATATAGTTAAATAGAAATATATACAAATATGATTATTTACAAATACTGAAATTCTGTTAAATTAATACACCTACAATCAATAGGTTAACTGTCCATGAGTATATTATCTGCCACAGATGGTGGTCAACCAGCAGTTATCAGAGTGAGAAAATAGTAATTCAGGGCCGGGTTGTTCAAAAACCAGTTAGCTTAATCCTTTATCTTCAAAGCAAACTTGCTAACAGCTTGTTTATAAATATGGAAATATTTCCCCCCGAAATTTTGTCTGGATCAACGGAAGTTCTATTTTATGCTCAAGGTTTTGAAATAGACAAACATGCAGACACCAAAACAACAGGTTTAAATCTTAAAGTGCATATGACATAAAATTTCTTATTTTTCTTGTTTTTATGGTTTGTTTCCAAGATATTTCAATTTGTTTGATATGTAAATGAGTGTGAATATGAAGTTTGAAATTATCATCTTGGATAATAGCAGTGATATTCAACCATTTTGAAGAGCTTGCAACCAACATGACGTCATAAATTAGCGGACATATTCATACTCATTTACATATCAAACAAATTGAAATATCTCGGGAACAAACCATAAAAACAAGAAACTGAAAAATAAGTTACACTACAACTTAAAGAGTTCTTTCATTTAAGAAAATAAGAAATTTCATGTCATATGCACTTTAAACTGTTTGTGCCAGTGTAGGAAGTGGCAAAAATAAGAAAGCTTTCGATTGTAGGGTATTTTTCAGGTTGTTGCATCCTATCAATTCGAAGGTTAAATCTTAACCCAAGGTCATCGCTAATCCAACCCCAGGGGCCGGTTGTTCAAAGGTGGATTAACGCTAATCCAGGGTTAAAATTTAACCCGCTGTCTTAGTTTGCATATTTCTGCATGACCATTTATTTCAAAATGGCAGAAAAGAAAACTCCTATTAATCCAGACATGATTTGTGAAGAAATGTTTCCAAATTTAAAAACAAGCTGTTAGGAAGTGTACTTTGAATTTTAAGTTAACCTAGGGTAAAGCTAATCGGCTTTTGAACAACTGGCCCCAGGAGATTTAGTTTAATTTCCTGCTCCAAAAATTGTCCCACATATCTAAAGTGGACCACCAATCTATCGCCCTGTAACGCTTATCAAAAGCCACGAATATACAAATATTAATAGTTCATTTATTCCTTTGAAAATATAATCTGTGGAAACTGACCATGAAACACTGATGTGCCATTATTTGATTGCTCACTGCTGCAAAACATAAACTCCACCCCTTCCAATACTATGACTTTCTCGCCCCCCTGTCCATAGAAAGATTGCGGCCCACTGAAACTGCCTGTCAGCGTGTACACTATCTCCGCCTCGAGTTTGATTGGCTCTGGGAAAATCACATCAAAGCCTGTCGGGTTAAGTTCGTTCTCATCAGCTTCGGATTTAAATTCGCCTGCATTTGAAGACAGCTCTCTACTTCCTTGGAGTAAATTAACTTTCAGTCTGTAAATGCTTCTGTCATCATCTCCAAAAGCTCGTACTCCATGTATAAAAACAGGCTGGGAAACTTTAAAGCACAGAGCATCTAATGTATTGTTCACATAGCACCAGCCTTTGCCCGCACGCTTCGGGCGGATAATCTTTTGCGGGCTAAATCGCGAAACGCGTGACTTGCCCGCCCAATGTCTGCGTGGTTTACACGAAAACTTCGTGGACTCCTCGCTCGGTTTTTGACCGCTGAACAAGAGAAAAATATTGATAATATCTTCTTGGGGTAGAATTTTGGACTCGTGAACTACAGTACTTGCAAATTCTTCTAAGGCCATCGTGGGGAAACGAAGCAAGTTGATAGCACTGCCTAAAAGTTCGCGACAACTTTCAACGCTGTCTTTACGTCCTTGTTTTTCGCATTGAAACTGCGCCCATTTCAACACCGCACTAAACAAGTCAATTTCCTTCACATTGAGAGTCTCTCGCGACAATAGTTCACACAAAAGCGAATGTTCAATTGTCAAAAACGCTTCCGACTTCAAGGCTTGGCTACATTCCATGTCTATAACACTCCAACAGTTCTCTTCCAAACCGTCCGCACAAAAATGTATGGCTTGACTCAGGACTTCAAATGCGCTCTCTGGAGTGACCTTTTTCCTTAAAAATCGCACGCACTTTTTCATTAAAGTCGGGACGATGTATTTGGTTGCCAAGTAGATTATATTCATGACATTTTCTGCAGTAACACTGCAATCTTCAGTATACAGATACCGTAGGAATTCACCAAACGCTTCCGGGTCTGCATCAGGAATTGAAACCTAAATGATAATTTCAGATTGTAAGATCAATCGACAATCTAGGGATAACAGTTTAGAACTGATATAAATAAAGTTACTTTAGTTTAGGTTTCCTCCTGTAGTAACACTGGATCAATAAGAGGAATCTTACTGGACCTATAGGGAGAACAATTTAGAACTGATAGAGCTATTCAGTTTAGTTTAGGTTTTCTCCTGTAGTAACACTGGGTCAGCAAGATATGATGCTAACTGAACATCTACGGAGAACGGTTTAGAACTGATGCAGTTATCGAGTATAAATAAATAAATAAATAAAGTTAGTTTACTTTAGGTTTCTTCCTGTAGTGACTCCGAATCAATAAGAGAGTAAAGAGACGACTCTTGTCAACAGTTTAGAACTGAGAGAGCTATTTAGTATAAATAAGTTGTACAGACCTTTTGCCCAAGTTCAGCTAAAGTGCCATAAAACATGGCATGAAATACAGCACTACTGATTCCAAGTATATATCGATGTGCGGGGTAAGTTTTCTCATTCTCTCCTTGACCGACTATGAATTCGATATCAGACATGAATCCTGTTGTGAATGTGTGGCTGATTTTACTGCGTAAATCTTGCGCGCAGAACTGTTCGTCGAATAAATTGTCCGTTGAAATGCCAGACGAAAACATTGCGAGAAATGTATAATATCAAAAGAGTAGAAACCAATGATGTTTCACCAACAAGGAGGAGATCTTTCGATGTATACCAAAAGGATTACAAAAGGAATAAAGCGGGTAAAGTATATATTATGTTTTGTCGTGTTTTTGACCAACTACACAGCGTGTAAACAAAGTGAACGAAGTTCTGAAATACCAAGGATCGTTGACGCACTGTAAACACGGAGTAGTTCAGTTCTGAATACCAGTGATATGAACAGGAATTAAAGAACGAATAAAGCGTATAGTTAATCCACAACAATAATATCTGACGAAAGGCGCACTTGTCTTTCAAGAATTGAAATTTTTTTCAGTTTCGCTTCGCGAACAATCCTGACAACGTGGGATTCCAGCCAACTGAATAAGTTATAGTCAATATTTCCACTTTTATCGATGACCTTGGCAACGTACCAGCCAGTCCTTCGGAGAATGATAATTGCTCGTTATGGGATGACGAAACGCTTCATAAACAATGCCAAATATATGGGGAATACAACGTACGCTAAAACTCACTATCTTTTGAAGATTAGATTTTGTTGGTCACTCTCATAAACACGATTCAAACGATATTTGATCCAACAGTTCAAAAGGTTGGCCACAAAATGACTTTATAAAAGCTTCCACGATATATCATTTATATCAGATGGGAAATACCAAAGTGATCTAGGATGCGCTTTCCGGAAAAATTAGCATACAGTGCGCGCTGATAAACGCTGATTTGACCTACCTCGAATCATACGATAAACTCATTAAAATGTGCTGCGCTAAGCTACGCCTGGAAGTTTCCGCAGTGTGGGCAGATGTTTCCGGTTGTCAGTGAAGTTGACAGATATGTTTTGGTTCAATTTGATACCAAGCCAAGTGTTTAAAGTGCCCCTGACACAAAAATTGATTTTTTGTGTATTGAAAGTACACATTATGTGGAGTGTTTTGGTGAAAGAATTTTTTGATTTCATTAAAAAGGAAAAATTTTAGAGCGGTTTAAACACAAAAATGTTTGGCCCATGGACGTCGGCTACAGAAGTCTGGGGATAGCATTTTTTGTGACGTCACGCAAGTGAGTCAAATCTTGACGGTCTGTTAGACTGTTATCAGTTTTGATCAGCTCGAAGGTTTTGATCGCTGAACGGCTGAAGTGTTTTTATATTCTAAGAACTATCATGGTTCTATAAAGTATCATGTCGACAACAGAATCCGACAGTAGCGATCAGTCCGATGATTCCAGTGCGAATTTTATACCTGGTTAATATGTTGTGTTGGAAGATGCTGATCTGTAGCATCTCGCCAGGTCGATACGACGCGGACGTGACGAAAAACTGCCGCTATTATCACAATTTCACTTCACGGGTAAAACTATGGATTGTTGTTGGTAAACAAAGCTAGGGACACGAGAAAAATAAAATAAAACTAGTTTCCCATTATTAGCGACTGTTTTTTAGTCGCGTCTGCGTCTCAGATTTGGCGCATGTTAAGCTCCTTGCCTGGCTCTCTGCTAACGTAGACGTTCTATTTAATTCATTTATTACCATCATTACCACCATTATAACACGAAAGTTATGCCATCTTAAACTTCTTTCAACTTCGCTCTTTCCAATCGATCCGTGACAGCTTGGGATTTTATCCCCATATTTTATCTATGACTTTGCAGTTTGCAAGGTTTATATCTCCGGTTCGGTGCATGTTATGAAGACAAAAATACTACGACTCGATTCAGTGAAACAAAATCTCCTAATTCCCAGCGATAGTTTTAGACTTTTAGTCAGATACAGGCTATAGTTTTAGTCATCAGATGGTATAGCTATTTATGACCTTTGTCTTTGATAGGTCAAGCGGTGTCATAATTCATTATATTACTCAATTTATAGTCTCGAACAATGTAAACTAGTCATATCTTTCGCCGAACATAACTTCGGCCCCTTTGGAAATATCTTTTTCGTAATAGTCTTATTCGAACCGGAATCGAAAACACTATTTAGAGTGTTATTTTCAAGCTTGTGTCTTCAGATTTGCATCTTTTATTTCGGTATTACAAAATATTTATATTATTAGCGGGGCCCGTAAAACCGAAATTGAATCATCAAAACAAAGCAAATTATCGTCAGTCTTTAATAGCTTCGGATAGTTAGGCTTGCCGAGCCCCGTCAACGAAAGACACGAAAAGAATCGCCTGTCGTAATCCTCTGGTCAAAAATGATCCGAGCATATAGTCGAAGTCTAGCTTTGACGGCACAAACAAACGTTTTGCGGATACAAATCTAACCCATACTTTTCTTCGTCTTTTAGCTTCCGCGCGTTCGTTATTGAAGTATGGAATATTGTGTAAACTTATTCCATATTTTAAACATGGTTTATTGGTACAGTTAGCTGCAACATAGTAAAAAGGCATATATTTTTCGATCACAAATCTAGTATATTTGTATATGGACTATATGCGCCAAGAGTTAATAGTACCAGTCGAATAAATTATAGAATACGCCGACTCACTTGCGTGACGTAACAAAAATCGCTCGTTCCAGTTTCCTTCGAACACGGACGCGTGCCAACAAAAAGCCACATTTTGCGTGTTCAAACGGCTCTAAAATTTTTTCGTTTCGATAAAATCAAAAAATTCTTTCGCTACAACACCATACTGAATGAGCACTTTCAATAGACAAAAAATCAATTTTTGTGTCAGGGGCACTTTAATTAATTCATAGCGAGGAATGTTGACATTTTTATACAGTTACCCACGATAAGTTCGTGTGAACCATGCGCGGGATTTTACATGCGATTGTCATGCGCGGGACGCGCGCAATGATTCTTATCCGCGCGTTAAGTTTTCCACGTAGTCAATCAAAATTTAGTCTGGAAAGTTGCTCAAAGTCTTTGTTCTACCTTTTGTTCATGTCTATGCAAACTTGTTACACAATGACGGTCAATGCATTTTTGGCATAATGAAGCAATCAGCCAAAAGCATGATCTCGTCAAATTGCTCATCTCTGCATGCTGTTGTGATCATTCTAACCAAGGTCAAACGATTTGTACATGGTGAGCCGTCTTAACATGACATGGTAGTCCATTAAATGGTAAGCGGTTGTGGTGAAAAGGTAGGCGGCTGTCCTCAATGCAGAAACATTTTACCAAGTCTGAAGGCCTTAAGACACTAGCCGGGGAAGGTTTCCAAAACCAAATCTCGCGGTTAGAAGAAACAATCAATTATGTGCCACAATGTATACATGCAGATTACAGTCAATTTCAGCTGACTTTTCATCGTAAGATTCCGAACTTCGTTCCGAACTTCGCAAATTCGTGGCCAAGTTCAAAAGTTCATAATGAAATTCACAAACAGGTTTGTAAACAAAGCCTCTGATTGGCTATTAAATCAAACCAGCCAATCAAATGCCCAGTTTACAAACCTGTTTGTGAATTTCATTATGAACTTTTGAACTTGGCAACGAATTTGCGAAGTTCGGAACGAAGTTCGGAATCTTACGATGAAAAGTCAGCTGAAATTGACTGTAATAGATTATAGTAACAACACAGCACATGATTACCTGTTTGATCTTTTTACCAAAACAAGTACAATACATGAAACCGGGCATGCTGAATTCAATTTTGCGCTTCCGAAATCAAATACATATTTTTGCAAAAAGTCATTTTCGTATAGAGGAGTAGTGGCTTGGAATAGTTTACCATCTGAGTTGAAAAATTTGGACTCCTTGGCAACTTTTAAAAATACCTTAAGGTTTAATAGTGTGTAAGTTAAATTTATTTTTTCCCCTTTTCTAGTTAGCTAGTTGTAATTTATACAACATATACCGGGTGTCTCAAAAAAAAGTATCGGTGTTTGATTTGTTATACCGTTAAAACTGGACAAGGAGTTTCAATCAAATAGACTTCACTGAATTCAGAAAGGCCTAACTTAAATTTTGATATATGACTTGAAGATATTTGAGCAATATTGAATGAAATACTACAGTTTCATTTCGAAGAAGCAATTTTGAAGATGCTTAAAATTACATTAAATCGGCCTATCAAATTAACATTTAATTTAATGCTGTTCTTGTCAACACAACGCACGATAAATAATATTTACACATTCGATGATTTATTCATCTGAAAAAGCATGTCCTTGAACACCTATATACAACGTCGTGCTCTGTAAAACATGCCAGAAAAAGCGCTTTGTATCATTTGTGCATCTAAACTTTGGCACGCTAAGATAACTGCCTGGCGGAGCTGTCTCAAATTCCTAGGCTGCTGCTCATGCGGGACGTTGCAGATTTGTTGCTTCAAATATCCCCAAAGAAAGACGTCGCAAATCGCCAGATCAGGAGATCGAGGAGGCCAGGGCCAATCGCCGCATAAAATAATACAAGATTGAAGCTAACTTCTTTAAAATTTTCACTATACTACCGAACAAACAGCAAATTAATGTCTTCAAAGAAATTTAATAAGCCGTTTTAGTCGAAATGAAAGATCTAGCACTGTATACCAAAATTTAGGTTAGCATTTTCTTAATACTATAAACTTATTTGAAAGCCATATACCTGGTATAGTTTTTACATTATGTTAATTAAATCAAACACCGATACTTTTTTTGAGACACCCGGTATATACTATGTATAGAACGCTTTAAAGTTTGCCGAGTTTTCAAACCACGTCCCGATTGACTAGACCAACTTCTCGATCGTTTATACTTCGTATGTTCAAGTTTTTGAACTGATTCAAAGTTCATAAAAAGGCTAAAATCTAACGCAATCAAACTTAGGGCTGCATGCATAGTGTCCATTCACTGACCCTGTTGATTAAATCTTTTGAATTATTTATATGGTTGAAAAATAGAACTTATCTTATCCGTAATACAGAAAATATCTTGAGTGAATTCCTTATTCGTCGAATAAAGCTTTCATTTCCATAAACGATTCGTGAATAGTATCGGAGAAACGGCTTGCACTCTGGAAAACATTGATGAAAACACAAGTTGTTTAAATTAATTAAAGGGGAGTAATACGGGCAAAAATTAAAATGCTGCAACTTGCAAAAAAATCTGATTTCAACGCATGTTAAGTAGAAATGCGACACATGTTGCCTCGTGATTTGTAATGTATGTATAATTTTCAATAGGCAATTCCAGCTACAGACTAAATTTTGATCTAAACAAGAACAACAAAATCCATCACGACAGCTAGAAAGAGCATGTTAAAATTAGTAAAATTGCAAAGGTTGGCCGCGAAATGACGTAAAATGAGGGAAATATAGCCAAATGACGTAAAATGAGGAAAATATAGCCCTACGAAATTTGCAAATTTTGTATTAATTTGTATTACGCGCGGGAAAATGCACCACATTTGCAGGCCGAAAGTGGTGCATTTTCCCGTGCGTAATACAAATTTGCAAATTTCTTAGGGCTATTATATTTTCCTCATTTTAAAACATTTAGCAACCAAACTTTGTAATTTTACTAATTTTAACATGCTCTTTTTAGCTGTGGTGATAGATTTTGTTCTTCTTGCCTAGATCAACGACTCATTGTCAGTTCCCTCAAACATTTCTTACAAATCCTTCAAAATTCCTACTTTGATAGTGTAAATGCCTCACGATTCAACGTGATTTATTCTTATCGAGGAATCATGTTCTTAACTCTGTTTACTGTAAAACTATTTACCGTTAAAGGAGCTGATTTCTTGCTCGTTATATGTACAATTAAAGTGTGTCCTGTTATAAGATACGACAATCCGTATCCATCATCCGCGACCTAAAATCAAAGATAAACTAAATTTAAACTAACTTTATTTATACTGGATAGCTCCATCAGTTTTAAGCTGTTGTCCCTAGAGGTCCAGTACGGATCATCTATTATTGATCCAGTGTTACTACAGGAGGAAACCTAAACTAAACTAACTTTATTTATCATGGATAGCTCTATCAGTTCTAAACTGTTCACTCTGTCTCTAGAAGTCCAGTAAGAGTAAGGAACATCTCTTATTGGTCCAGTGTTACTACAAGAGGAAACCTAAACTAAACTATATTTATTTATACTGAATACCTGCATCAATTTTCTCCCAAGAGGTCCACAAACGAGGGTCATCTTTGATGTTACTACAGAAGGTCTAAACTAACTTAATTTGGTCAGAATAACTCTTTCAGTTCAAAAACCATTCTTTCTAAATGTCCAGTGTTACTAAAGAAGGAAAGCGGAGAACCCAGAGGAAATCAGCGGTGTTTGGTAGGGCCAAACTGAGACTGCACTCCTCTCGCATGCAACTGGATATTGCAGGAATCGACCTCCAGTCACAGAAGAAAAATACACATGCACTAGCCACTGTACCAGTGTATGGAACTTGAGGAGAACAAAGGATAAAATGTGAAACAGCCAGCAAAACAAAATAGGAACATTTCTTTACCGGTCCAAAGCCTCCGCCTCCTGGAGTCATAGATCTATCCTTGTTGTACGTAGCAATCTGCATCTGATCTGCCGCAGTCTGTATGGGGAAATTTGAACATACGTCAACATCGAGAAATACCTCTCCACAATGAGAACAATAAGTAGAAAATGAGCATGCATAAGCAGTAGTACTAACCTGACTTGTTGAAATATGCCACGGTTCACTGAGAATCTAAAAACATCAAACAAGACACAATGTCATGCATAGAGATTATAAGATTCTTTTATAATCTCTATGCTGTTATGTACCTGTTGTACCCAGAGGAGGAGTGAGGGTCTTCCCACAATGCATTGCGTCTCATTATTATTCACAATTACGATTTTTGGCAAACGTTAACGAAAAAGTTGTTGAAATATATTGCGATTTTTGGCTCTGAAGATCTCGTTTTTTTGAAGGTATGTGATGATAACTGTTTTGTTTGGACATCTAATTAAACAGTTTTATATTTTTTTGGTATAGATATTGCTTTTTA